GGTTTGAAGTTTGGTATAGAGCTTCATTTCATCTGTAATAGGAAAGTTAGCAAGCTAGTCGAAAGTTGGAAAGAGTTTAGTTCAGAGTTTAGAAGAGTCTTAAAATGTTGTAGAGGTTTGGGCAATTGAAGTGTAAAAAGGTTCTATGTTGGTAGATTGTTATAAGTTGGGTGAAGTGGGTAATTGTTGTGCAATAGTAAAGTAAGATGGTTGGGTGATTAAGGAGATAGTGAGTTGGGCAGTATGTTGTACTATAATATTCTGAGAGTCAATTTCCATCATAGAAGGTTGGGTGTAAGATGAGGTAATATGGGAGTTGGCAGAGGTTTCAGAAGGTTGTTGTATAGTAGAAGATATAGAAGCTAGAAGAGTAGATAGTACAGGTGATAGATAGAAAGATGCTGAGGTTTTGTAATAAAAAGTTGTAATACAAAAGTAGAAGAAGGTTTGCTATAGTAAAGGTAAGATCTGGTTGTTTAAAGAAAGATGATAGTGTTGGAACAAAGCTAGAGAGAGTTGATAGTATAGATTGTCTAGCAGGTGTTTTGGAAGTTTCAAATAGTGGAGTGGTTTGAGTTGAAGAAAGTGTAATATGTTGTTGAGATTGGAGTTGAGGCTGTTTAGAAGAGGTTGCAGAAATGTTGAAAAGTGGTATAAGAGGTTGAGGAGTGTTTTGGTTGGCAAGACATGCTTTATAATAGATATTGTTTTTGTAAAAGATGGCATTTTTGTGGAGATAGTATTGGTTTTCTTGAGATAAATATTTGTATTGAACTGGTTGTTGGCATTTATAGCAGCCATGGGTTTCATATTATCTGGTTCAGTCTAATTATGAGTTGGAAATAGTAGGATAAATTTAGTAGTTTTGTTAAGTTTTTTGATAAGGGTTTTAGTAGAGGTAGTAATTTCAGGAAGGTTTTCATCATTAAATATATAGATATTGTTATTGTTAGAAATAAAGTGAGTGTAGAATTTTTTGCAAATACAAGTAATGATAGAGGTTAAGGTTGGTGCTTTAAAGAAGTAAGTTGCTTTATCACTACTACGAAGATGAATAAAGCAGTTGGTAGGTTTAACATTAGATAGAATAGGTTTAGCAGTATTGGGTTATTTTTATGAATTCAAATTCCAAAACAGTTTGGGAATTGGTTATAAAAAGTATCTAAGTTGATAGTATTAGCAGCAGTATAAATAAGAGTAGACATTTTCTTGGAGATTCAAGTTAGATAGAATAATAGTAGTGTAGCTATGGGGTGTAACAAGTAATTATAGAGTATGACAACTAATCACAGAGTGTGACAAATAAACACAAAGATGTGAAAAATAAACATAGAGTATGACAAATAAATACAGGGTATGACAAATAATTACAGGGTACTAGATAATTATAGGTCCTGTTACAGGTATGTATATTACAGTGCTAAAAAGTTATTTCATATAAATTAAATAAAACCAAATTTGTTAAAGTTTTAATTTTGTACTAAATTAAAATAAAATTGGTTAGTATCACTAATATTTGAGGCCCAGGCAATGTGGGTTATGCAGTAGGAGGTTATATAGAAAATGTATCTAAGTGTTTTTAAGAGGGCAAAAGACAAAAGAAAAGAAAAAAAAATTAGGGGAGTTTTTTAAATATAACTTTGTCAGTTTTGGGTCTACAAGCTTGTACTATAGCTTGTTATAATAGGAGCAGTACGCTCTTTAAGTTTTCTTAGACTTGGAGAAAAGGTTTAGATAGCAGTTTTGAGTTAATTACAAATTTAAAGAAAAAAGGCCAGAGAGCTGTTTTTTAGTGAGTTTGGAAGATTTAAAGCTATTACTTAAGTATTATATATATTTTTGTGTAAAAAACAAGTTTATTTAGTAGCAAAACTAAGATTAACTTAGTAAAAAAAAAGTTATAAGCTGTTTTTTAAATAATTAATTTGTAGAGAATTTGTGTATGAGTGATATATAGGAAGAGTTTTTTTTGATTTGTTTTGATAAGAATTCATTAATTTTAATATTGATAATTATTTTTTCTAATATTTTAATATTATTTTCTACTGCTTCTGTAGTAGCTAGTTTAGGTATTAGATTATATAGTCCTAATATTTGGGTATAGTTAAATCTCATTATTGTGTTTGTTAACCCTTTATCTAATTTACATTCTATTGGAATATTATTAATTAAAGCAATAAAGTAAAATCCTTTAGCTTCTTTAGACTTTTTTGGGTTTATAATAGTTTTTTTTGAAAAGTATATTTTATCATATGTGGCAGAGTTTATATATAAGTTAAATTTGTTTCTTTTATTTAATAATTTGTTATAATTATATATTTCTTTATATTTGTTTAATTTAAACTCATTAAACTCTCCTATACAACCAGTATATAAGTATAGAGGTTGTTTATGAGTATAGGGCATGCCACCTATTAAAAATGTAAATTTTTGATATTATTAGGTTTTTTTTTATTGAAGATACTTCCTCATATCCTTCAATACTTTTTCTGTAGGCTTTGATAGCTTCTTTATATTTTTTAAAATCTTCTTATTCTTGGATTTTGTTTCAGTGCTGGGTTTTTTCTTATTATTAAGATTGTTGGTTTCTATTTGTGAAACATTATTATAACAGTCTTTAGTTTGGTGAGTAAATGATTTAACAAATTGTGCATGTTAGTGAGTTAGAGTTGTATTTTGGTTTCAATTTTCTAAAAGATTGGTTTGTTTCTGATTTCTTAAAGGTGATTTCATATGTAGGATCCAATTGTCCTGGTCTAAATACTTCTTGTTTGTTTTGAGGTTGATATAGTTTTTTTTTGTTTGTTATAAATCTTTTTTGTTCATTGTTGTTTAAATTGTTTAAATATTATAGTTGGCTTCTAAGCTTGTTCTTGTTAAAATTGTACAACTGGTTTGGGATTATATTCGAATTTAGGTTGCTATTTTTTTGTATTTAGATTTTTTAGGTCTTCCTGGTGGTCTAGATGTAAATACTTTTTGAAATTTGTTTCTTGGTCGAGTATTTCTTAGTTGTTTCTTTCCTTTATTAAATCTTTTATTGTAAAAAGATTTAAATCCTTTAAAGTTTTTTCTTTGTAGACAATCTTTTAGAAAATATCTTGGTTTTTCACATTCAAAACATCATAGATTGGATACATCTATGATACCATAGTTTTTAGGTTTGTAATTTCTTTTTGGTTTTTCGTTGTTGTAAAATTCTTTATTACTTTTCTTTTAAAAGTAATTAATTTTTTTTGTAGTAGGATATTTATTTCTAAAGTATTCTCCTACTTCTACATTTTTGTAATACTTATATACTCTATATAGATTATTCTAAAATATTTCTTCTGAATTGATATTAGATTCATATGATATTATTTGACTCCAATAGTTTTCTCCTTAATGTCTTCTTTTAGGTAATGTTTCTTTCATAAGAACTTTAAGTCCTTCTGCAAATTCTTGTTTAAAAAATGATATGTCTCTTTATTGATTGAATTCTTCTATAAATTCTTCATCTTCATGTGTATTCAATACATATTTTGGTGTAAATTTCATTTGTTAAAATGCTTTTTGTGCTTCTTCAGTATAGTTGGTTATAATATTTTGTTTATCTATCTATAATCTGAATGATATTTGTGCTGATACAGGTGGGTTTGCTGTTCTATCATACATTTCTAAGTTTTCTTGTCCTGTTTTCTTATCTGCTTCGCAATTTGTTTGAGTATATTTTCTATTAGAATCATTTGGAAATTTTATTAGATTTAAGTATACTGCTTTTGTTTAGCTAGGTTATTTCTACGTATAGTATTATAACTATATTTCTAGTCATGTGCTGGTATTCTTTGTTTATTGTTAAAATCACTTAGAAAATAACAATTGAATATACTTTGCTTTGCTTTATATTTTCTAAATAATATTGGTTCAAAATATTCTATTGCAAGTTTGTCTATAAATTGTCACATAAAAAATATATTAAATTGTTTTGTAAAATTATCTCTTATTGCTGTTTCTGTTAGATCAACTAGTGTTTAACTATATGTGGGTTTCTGTTAAAGTATTATGTTTGTAATAATTTTAGTGGTACTCTTGATTGTATTTGGTTTTCAAATTCTAAGCTCTATTTTAGCTAGTTTTCTCTGTTGCATTTTTAGTTTTCCATTATGATATTAAAGTCAAGCTTCATAAGATCTATAAATTCACAAGTTATTGCTGCTGCCATGTTAGTGGTTTAATTTCTAAGTATAAGCAAAATTGAATATAATCTTCTTGGGTAGGTTTGCGGTTTGCTATTAGTAGTTCTCTATTAATTATTGTAAGTTGATTTAGAATATGTCTGTATTTCAAGTAATTAAATATTTCTGTTCTTAGGTAATTCTTAGATTTTATTTTGCCAGTAAAGATTTCATTTTTTTTCAAAGTATTTGTTATCATGTTTTTTGATTATTCTATTAATCTTGTTTCTGTCTGATGTTGATATTGTAGGAAATTTTACTTTTTGGTGGCTTATATATGATTTAAATAGTGTATAGTAAGCTTGTTAGGTTTCTAGTTTGTTTTCTAAAAAAGAGTACTTCTATAGCCAAAGGTTTAATTCAAATTTTTTAAGTTTGGTAACACTTTGTTGTAGTTTTATATTTTGTTGGTTTTGTTGCATTTGACAATATATTTAGTTTCTGTAAATTTTTGTAAGTATTCTAGGTTTTGTTGATAAGATTCTGCAATATTTCTGATATATTTTTCTGGTTCATCTTTTCTTATTAAATTGATAATATATACTTGTATTATAGTTGATTCAGTTAATTTTCTTTTATCAATTATAACTTTGCTTTGTGAATAATTCTTTTTTTCTTCTTTAAAAAGTTGAATATATTTAGTTTTCTTTTTTTGTTTTTTTTTGTTCTTTTAATTCTTCAAGTATTTCATCAGTAGTTTTGAATATATAGCAAAATTCATTTTCTTTGTCTAAACAATATCTTTCATTAGATATTTGTTGCTATAAAAGTTATTGTATTAGTAACAATTTCCTCTTGTTGAAGTGTATTGTTGATATAGTTATCTGCGATATTGGTTTTCTTTTTAATTCTAGCTTGATATTTTACAAATATTATTACTCTAGCAATTATTGTAGTTGCTATTACTGTTATTATTTCTTGGTTTATAATGGTAGTATCATTAAAGTAGTTTGGTATTTTAGTTTGAATTACTACTTGAGTTTCAATTATAGTTTCAATTATTGTAGTTGGTGTTGCTGTAATTATTTCTGTAATTATTACTGTTAGTATATTTATTGTAAATAATTCAAATTGTTGTTCTGCAACTAATATTGTTAATAATAAGATTAACAATAATAGTTTTATTTAGTTTTTTTTATCTTCAAATAATGCGAATATTTCATTGGAGTTTGGTTCTAAATAATTATCATAAGGTTGATATATTGCATTTCTTCTTTGTTTGTTATTTCTTTTTTGTTTTTTTTTTTTTGTTAAAGATACAAAACATTTAAGAATATAAGGTTGAGAAATCAAATAATGCAGTTTTTTGTTGTTGTTGTATTTCTGGTATTTATGATGGTTGATTATTTCAGTAGTTCTGGATTTTTCTTGTAATAAATTCTTGGTTTTGTTTGTAGTTTCTTTGATGTAGTTTTTTCTTATAACAGGTTTTGTAAATAATTATTAAGATAATTATTGATATTATTACATATATTCCTATGATTGTTGCAGTTATATCCCTTTTGACATCAATTTCATACAAAAGGACATTTAATTTTGTACAAAATAACATTTAATTTTATACAAAGTGATATTTGATTTTGTACAAAATGATATTTAAATTTATGCAAGGTAACATTCAAATCTGTACAAAATGACAATTAAAATAAGTTTGATTTAATTGTGATATTTCATGATATAGTAGTCCGATATAGAAGATTTTGGTACTATTTAAATCCTCTTATTGAGATGATTTGAATGATACCAAAATCTTTTATATTGGACTACTGTATTACAAGTTATCATGATTTAGTC